GATTCTGCATAGTGTTCACAATGTGGATCTTCATGAAGTGCATAGCTTTAGAAAGACATTGTTTAAACTTTGCCAAATAAACCGGATAGTCCTTGAAATTGGGCTGCAATCGGTAGAGATAAGCAAGTGTCAGACAGCTTTAATTGTGATCACATACCACAGATAGCAAGGGTAGCACGGGTCCTGCAGTTATAACAGTACTGTATAGTGTCATGGTCTTTTCTCGCTAGTATAAATATGCCATAATAGCACAGAACACATTTATTGATTAAAAACATGATACAGTGTTTAATCATTTAACTACTGGTAATAAAATAACACAGACAGAATTCTAAAATTCTGTCAAGAGTGCAAACTACTTACATGTGACGAAACATATTCAATGCAGTCGTCCAATTTCGACAGCATTGGTATAAAGCCTTCACTATTAACAGACAAGGTGGGCGAGTTCAGTTTCTGCAAAAGACAAAGAAGAAGCTCAGTTTGAAGTAATTATAATTTTCCAGCTCTTTGTTTAAATATTAGGTCATTGCTACCAAAAAGGTTCCGTTTCAACTTTGAAACCAGGGCTGATAAAAAAATCAGTTTTACAGATTTTACTTTCATATTTGAAAGGTTTAGGAGGGGAAACACAATTTCATGAAACTTTTCAGAAATAATTACATTAGGAAAGGAAAGTTCCTCAGAATAATGTTTTTAATCTGGGAAATAACTTCTGATCATTAATAATTACTACGTTGATATCTAATAAGTAATTAAGTAAACAAAAAAATTCACAATCCATACATTTAGTTATGAAATGTTTTAAGATGTAGACAACAATGAAACCCAGCCTACCGTGTTTATGTTTTCTAACTCATTAAAATATGAGAGTTTCTGCTGTATGCTCTCTGCCAGGTCAACAAGCTCCGACTGCAAAGAGAGAAAACAACAACACACAGTTGACACAATACAGCGTGGCAGATTCATTTCAGTTCTGTTCAGGTTGCTCGAATGGTCTAATCTACATATTTTCAAGAACATAAGCAGCTTTCTGCAGGGAAAAAAACTGCAGCGTCAATAAAATATTAAATATGCCACCAAGAGAATGAGCAGCAGACAGATTTGTTTTCTTTTTGACCTTGCTAGTGATTTTATATTCAGACAAGCTTTTGTTCTATGTCATGCTGTTTTGAACTAGATAATGTACGCTACTTATGCATTTCCAGTCATCTCCAGTGACTCCTTTGGGTGCTACCACAGTTGGTTTTACACAGAGTTAAGGCCGATACAGACATTAAAGCAAATTCTGCAGTTTCTGGTCTTGGGGGTGACATTAATACTAATACTAGATTCTTCAGTGGCATTACAATTTAAACATTTGCTACTGGTCAAGTCCCAGTGATCCGCTCGTTACGTAACTTGGGTTTATAGGTGAATACAACAGCGTGCAGCTTACCTGCTCTTTTAGCAGCTGTTCACAGGCTTCATGTAGGGTGCCGGTCTTATTGGACACAAACAGATACTGTTTCTGAAGAGAGTCCAAGTGCTCCAGGGCAGCACTGACATCTTTCAGAATAGCATCGCACTGTTCCTGGTAGCAGTTTAGATCATCTCTGGTTCTCCTGAAGGGAAAGCAGACATGTTATCTGTGTGTTTACCCAAAGACAAGGCGATCAAGTGAAGCTACCTACTGGTTCGCATAGCTTTTCAAGCATGTTGCACATCTGAAACCTTAAACAGGGGTGTCACAGCAGACGTCAAAGCTGTCAAAGGTCAAAACGTCAGAGGTGATGTCACTAACTGGTGCGTGGCCAGAAGTGAAGAAGAGTTAGTTTAAAGTTTAGCCCACAGAGCAGCAGAACAGCACATCAGCACATTTCTGCCTTGCTCTGTGTTACTTTGGTCCTACTCTGTGGAACACACACAGCTTGATGACCTGAGATCTGTCACAGCTTGAAGCATCTCCATTGACTTATCATTAATTATTATGTGTCTCTATCTGTGCTTTATGTCTAAATAGCCTGATAATCAGACTGACTTGGCAGAACTGTATCCAATTTATCAGCAGTGGTTCAGTGGTCTGAAACCAGGCTAGGGTATGATGTGTGGGGTGGATGCGGGTATTTACTGCCCTTGACTGAATAGGTGTGGGTTGTGTAATGAATAAGCATGTTAATGTAATGCACATTGAGTTTACTAGTCGTGAAATTTTACTAACAACTGTAAGTAACACTGCTTTGTTTCTGATTTATCCTATAAAGAAACCTTTCTCCAAGCAAGCCCTCTGAAGAAGCACACAGGATATTCAGAGTGACACCACAGTGTAGGTGTAGCCATTTAAACATTAATGCACCTGTATTTTAAGCTGTCATCCTGGTCCATGTTTGCCTGTAACTTGGCAAACCAGGCAAAAAACTGCAACACAAATTGACATTGTATTAAAACCAGGCATCATTATTATTATCATTATAATATAGCAAGTCTGACTGGCTAAAGCACCGCTCACTGCTGGCAAAGACCCTCACCTGTTGTGCTGTTTCTATCCTGTCATTCTCCATGTCGAGCATCTGGAAACCCCTGAGCAGGACGTCCTCTGTTGAAGCGGGCACAGTCGCTGTGAAGGAGGACTGCAGGGACCGGGACGAAAGGCTGCACAAGTCCTCAATGGGCAACTGCAAAAAACAAAGCAGGGCTCTCAGTTTCCAAACACACACACACACACAACACGCCTTCATGTGAAGCTAGCTGGACACGGCTCGACGTGGCGGAACGCAAACCCCCTAGTTAGCCTGCAAGCTAACAGCCGGGGTACATATTAACTTTAACACCCTGTTTGCATTACAGAGAGGTGAGCTGGGTTCAGGGCAGCTAACGTTACGTGGTTTAGTTTACCTCACTGACGGTCAGAAAGTGAGTTAGCAGCCCTGTTAGCTGGCTACGGAGTCACATCTCACCTCCGACGGGACAGAGAGCGTTTCAGCGGCGGCTCGGAGCTCCAGCACAGAGTCCATTTGTTTCTCCGTGAGGGGAGCCATGGCGTCGGTTCGGCGGTCCCATAGCGACAGTTTCTCCCGGGTTTCTTTATCCGTGAGGTCCAGGAGGGACTGGTCTGTGAACGCCATCGCCACTTTGTGTAGCACCAACGTCAGCAGCAACGCGCAGGTACTTCCTGTTCCGGGAGCGGGGGCGGGGCTTAGTGGCGGGGCTGATCCAGAGCATACAGTGCACTGAGGTCAAACCGAAATGATACATTAAACTGTTAAATATACTCATGGGTAGTGTTTGTCTAGTGTCTTGCTTCAGTTTTATGTATAACATCTTGTTTGGCTTTCATGCTAGTGTGTTTCATATGTTTCTATATGTCCAAGTCCCATTATGGATTGCATTTGTGTTGTTTGAGGTGTCTTTTCTTTTCTTTTACTTTATTTTTTTTAATCTTTTCTTTTCTTTGATTTCATTTTCTTTCATTTGGTTATTTGAAGTGTTTTATGTGTATGCTGGCTACAACACATTCAAATTAAATAAGATTAGTCACTTCATAATTCACTTTTCATTGGTTTAGTAGGTATACATTATAATAAATCATACATAACACATAAAAGATAGATAGGCCCAAACATTCTGTTACAATGTTTCATAATCTTCATATAGTTGTATCTTGATATGTTACCCACTTCACATCAGTCTTATTTTAACTGTCCCTGACCAAGTGCTATTTATTCTATATTTTTCTGATAAAATTAAATTTGTCTAAACTAAATTTGCCTCACATATCACCTGGATGACAGCTGAAGCCCATAATACCATTATTACAAAGCTAACTCCACAAGACTAATAGTCAGTGTGATAGGTGGAATTTCTGGGTGGGACGGATATGGCCTCTAATCATCTATCATGGAAAATACAAATCCAGCAGGTGGAGCCCTGGGGCACATTTTTAATACTTAAAACTGAGGTTTTCAGTTCTTTTTCATTAAGTCTGCAAGAACCTTTCTTTTCTGCAAGCACTCGCTCAGAGTAAAGAATTTGATCAGATTTATTTTAAGTGTTGCAGTCATGCAAGAATAATTTGTCTTATCCCCCAACATGCAGAGCCTCAACTTTATGCCAGCTCTACTGTGTCTCTCTGTTTTTAAGCCATGTACTGTAGCAGAGAAAGCATGGAAGACAATCAATGGCCCATTGTCTTGAGAACATTACATTTTTTTTCTACAACATGCTCTGTATATGATGAATAATACAAAACAGAACTAAAAACAGCAAACTGGCACTATGTTTTGAGGTCTTAAGGCATTTTTTATTAATTGAGTTATATATTAAATGTTCCCTACATTAGGAAATCATTTGAATAGCTGATTATAATAAAAAAAAATTAATCTCTTTACTAAATCTTTATGAAACACATACACTTAGTAGATTTATTGTTTATATAATTATATAATTATATATAATTATTTGTTTGTTGTTTCAATCATCGTTTTCTTCAATTAAAGAGCTAAAATTACAGTCAAAACCAGAATTATGTAGCAGTTTATTGATTGCAAAAATGGCTTTCAGTGTTTCTTTGCACTAAAATGTGCACATCTCCAAATCCAAAAAGGTCCTGGTGGTATTACATGGAGGAGGTTGTGTTTACGTATTACAGCTCTGTCTGCAGGGTGTCTCATGGGTAGGTCACACAGAGTTCAGATTTTTTTTTCTTTTTGCTCTTGTCTACTTTAGTTCAAAAGAGATGCTGTAGAATTCAAGCCATGTTACTCAGGAACAAAAAGAAATGTCAAAGCAAATCTTGTCAGGATTTGTATTTTGGCTCAGTGTGGGTCACAGCGTACAGCAACACTTTTCTGTATGGTGGCGATGTTATCTTTTCACTGTGGTGTTGTGAGAGCTTGTTCATGCTTTAATGAGAGTCCAAGTGCAAATGAGTGTAAACAAAAAGAGTACAGTGCATTATATGATCATCTTATCACAGACACATTTTTAGCATGCATTTTAAAATGAAGAGAACAAGTCACACATTTAATCAAATGAAGTCACTTTTATTCCATCTTGTCAGAGATAAACTGTGGAAATTGTGATGTAGAGCTCTTGTGAAACTTCTACAATAGGAAGATGAATGATCTCATAATGCTGGACTGTACTCGAGCATTTACAGATAATAAATAATTGAAACATGTTGAATTGACTGATTAATGTGATTTCACATTAAAATTTCTAAGTGAAACTGTTGTTAACTATTGTTATTGCATCTATTTAAGTGATCTTACAAAGCAAAGACATGGAAACCTTTGCATTATGGGACAAGTGTATTAGAAATACATTTTATAGTGACAACTTCTCAAAGTGCTATGACTTAAAAAATCTTTTAAAAACATTACATTTAAAATAACCTATACAACCTTCCTGAAACATTTAAGTTGAAGCTTGTAACTTGCACTTAAAGGTTTATCCTCACCCTAAACAACACATGACTGGAAAAAGCGTGTAATATGAATTTAGAAATAAAAAATCCATAGCCTATTTGAAAATATCAATATCTGTAAGCAAACCCTTAAAACCATCCAACAATGTAATGTACATAAATGTGCAAAGCAAAGAAATACATCTAGAGATGCTTGTAAATAATTAAATAATTCCAATTCATTTCAACATATGCTTGATTAGGAATGTACACGTGCATCTCGTTCGCTTACTGTGTTTTATTTTGTCAACAGTACGTGGGCATCACAGTCAGTGAGGTGCGGACAGTCTGGTCCGGGTTACACAAAGAAAATCCAGCACAACAGGTTTTGTCAGTTGTTGTAGTCTGTCCCCTCTAAGTGATCTGGGATGGGCAGTCCGGTGAGGATTGTTAAACACCTGTTCCAAACGTTGAACACGGGGCAGACTGGCTGCGCAAAGGCGATGTCAAATGTATAAAGGTGCTGAGAACCGACAGCGTCGTAGAAAGACAGAGACCCGGAGTCATAGTCCAACAATATTCCGAGACGCCGCAGGTGGGGCGAGGGCTCAATGGGCATCTCCTTACTGTTGTGACGCACCACCCACGAGTTGTTGCATCGAGACAGTACCCAGGAGGCAGAATTTTTGCCGACCCATTCATGTTTTGGTGCTGACTTGTAGGCAATGCCCACTGCAAACCTGCATGGGAAAAATGATTTCATAAATACCAGCATATTTCCAGCATTGTAAATAAACCAAGACTACAACCATGCTAGTGGCTCTGTGAGGTATGGCAGCATGTTAAAATGCTAATATTGATATTTAGCAGGTGTAATGTTTACCATGTTCATTGTTGTTAGCATACTAAATTAGCCTAATTAAGATTCAAGGGAGTTACTACAATTAATTCTGGGGGAAAAATTAATGTCTGTATCAAATTTCACAGAAATACATCCAATAGTTGTCAAGATATTTAACTCGCCACAAATGTCAACCTCTTGGTGGCACTAGACCTTTAGTCAGAAGCTTACCAAAGTCATTAGTACTACTCTTTGCTATGTAAACAATTTCATAGCAATCCATTTAATAATAAAACAATAATAAAATGATCCATTGAGATATTTCAGTGTGGTGTGATGATCGATATTTCAAGTGCTGGACCAAACGACAGACATACATTGCCAACCTAAGAACCACACCGCTAGCATGGCTGAGAACAGGTAAAGGTTTTTACCATGTGCTTCCTCCTATCAGAGCTTCCCAGTAATGGCGGCCGCTGTCAATGTAGACATTTCCCGTAACACCGTAGCTGCTGTGGCTGGTGAAACGGTCCTGACTGTGGCTCTTCTTGGACGATGTCTCGTCCCTCTCCACCGTCAGGTTGTCATGGGACACCCTCAGCTTCCGGTGAGCTGACTTTGGGTCCAACTTGAATGGCTGACCTTAAAGAAAGTGACAAAAAAATGTGCTGGTTTCTAAAATGCATTACGATTCCCTGAGATCATTAATAATAGAATAAATTCTGTGCAGTTAATAAAGTTGACTTACTGTTGGTTTTGAGCTTCCCTGGTTCACTGCTGCGGCTTCCAGCCTGGTTTATTGCCTTCACTATGAAAATGTACTTGGTGCCACACTGGAGCCCGTGCACAGTGTAGTGATTTTGCTTGATGTTTGGTACGATCATCCAGCTATCAGCAGAGTTACACAAACCTGCAGCCCAGACAGACAGAGAGTCACTGATAAAGAGCAAACCAATTTATCATAAAAACTCGTGTTGAGTTAGGGCCTCGTTCAATGTTTGAAATCAAGAAGAGAGACAATGCGGCGTAATTGTATGCAGCGTTTCAATCTATAGCTGCTATTTTTGACTCATCAAATGTAGTCGCATTACCACTCATCCAAGTGTGCTTGAGCACTGAGGCAGATGAGAATAAATTGCTTGATCGAGCATGTTGTGACCTTGTTAGAGCAATCAATTCAAACAGTCTGCTGCTCATTTCAAACCCTAGATAATATCGAGCTTATGATGTGCATCTGGATGTAACTCCACTCTGACTGAGATGTTATTTTCCTCCCATATCCCTTCCTAGTCACTGCAGTGTATTTTGGTAACATCTCATTAACCATAAGAGCCAGGACAGAGCTCTCCTCTCCTGCAGCTACAATTCAATATAATGTTTGGATATTGTAACATAGGCCCCAAACAATTTTAAGTCCTTAAGTGAAATCCCGTTCAAATCCCTCCATCATTGTCATGTTTCCCACCACAAACATTATTCTATATTCCCGCCAGAGAGCTGCATATAGACTTACTGACAACATTAGATTGGCTGGTGAAGATGGCGTACTGGAGTTCATATGATACGACAGAGAATTCATCATCTGATGTCCAGTGAACTGTGATCGTGTCATATGAAGCTGTACATAATTCCTCGCGGATTATTGGTGGATTTGGTGCTGCAATTGGAAAAAACAAAAGACAAATGTTGACAGTAATGAAAGCTGAGCGGATTCCATTTTTGCACACAACATAAAATAAACAAAACACTCGCAATATGTTGCAGAGACCAGTGGTGGTAAACAGCACCATCCATTTGAGTTTTTTTTTTTTTTTTATTCTGACAAGTGTAATTAAGCTAGTTGCAGTTCCCCCAGCTATTACAGCTATAGCCCCCATGCAGAGTTAAATTCACGCTGCACAACAGGCGCTGAGCATAAACAATCAAACCTGTTTCATTCAGAGGAAAATAAAGCTTAACTGTAGCCTAACATTTGGGTGCTTATTTTTGTTTTCTGTCACTCGCTAACAGGCACATAGTTGAAATATCTTTTATCCATGCCAAACCCTTTCAATTATATAAATCTATAATTGAAGGATAGGGCCAGGACACTTTACAATGCACTATTTGGATAAAGGAACCAAACAAACCATCTAAAATGATCCATTTCAGGAATTATAGAGTGAATGAAAAGCTGCCCAAATGTCGCAGTGTGACTAAACTCAGTGTATATTGAGCGAGCAATAGATTATATTAATTAGCAGACAGGCTTTGTGCCAAACAATGCAACCACTCACCTGTGAGGTAATCCAAGCTTTCTAGCATTTTCTTCTCCCTTGTGAAGTCCAAAGCAAAAGTATCAAAAGTATCATTCAGGTTAATTTCTGGTAACAGGATTTGAGAGGATGCCGTTGCCATAGAAACTCTGCAATAAAAAAGTACATTATTAGATGGTGACAGTTTTGTACGCCATATCTAGTGTTTGTTGGTAGTGTTTTTTGCTCCGTCACCTCTCACAGATGCTTTTAGCCGTTTGGAGGAAGCGGGTGTGATCTGTCTCCTTGAGAGTTTGGTCAGCTTGAGTGATGAGGGAGGAGGACCTCTCGATGCACTGCTTGCAGCTGGCTATCTGCTGCGCTAGTTTCCTCAGCCGCACAGACTGGGCAGAAAAGAAAAAAAGAACATGTTGATAGATGAAAAGCTTGGTAAATAACCAACCAATGCTACTACTTACTGTATAAAGCACCGACCTGCCAGATGCTAGATTTGATTTTACCTTGCCAATTACAAAATCCTGCTGAAGAAAATTTGATTTACGCCTTCGACAATTGGATTTTGTCAGTTGTGTAATACCCACAAGACTGCAAGCTTCAACCCGTTGTGAAAGCTATACTGGCACAGGAGGTGTATTTATGAAACGTCCTTCATAACACTGCCATAGTAACCAAACTGTCCTATCCCACATCTGTGCTTCACTGGCTTAGTGGCTGAAAGCAACCGCAGACCCTGACACGAGGCACGGGGCGAGGAAGGAAAGAGTCCTCCTCCAGAGAGGACCATCACAGGAAGCAGGGCTGATCTTACTCTGACACTGAGCATGGCACAGCATGCCATTGCCTCTCTAATGGCATCTAACAGGGGAAAAGGAAGGGAAACGATTCAAGGGGCACAGCATATGTACATCAAATGTAAGGACTCTGTGCCAGAAATACGCCGGAACTAAAAACAAAACACAGTAATAAAGACAGCAGTCTGGTGGGTATTTCAGTGCAAGTCGCTTGTTTAAAAAAAAAACTAATTTATCCAAACAGATCTGAGGAGATGTTGCCACCAGCCCTAAACACAGGTTGAATGGTATGCCCAGTTTTACTATACTATTACTATACACAAGTTTACATGTCTAATTAGAATACAGTAGACAGTTACAAATTCACCACTGTTGGGAAAAGACCTTGTAACCCTCAATTTAGGCAAATTCATGTTGTAATTTCAAAGAATTGCCTGCTCCTCATTAAAAAAACTACAGGCATCAGTTTATAAAGTATTGATCGAACAAACCAGAAAACTCAAAAGCGTATAAAGCTAAAAAAAAGTCTTATGTAGCTTTGCAAAACGCAGTTACATTTAATTTTATTTCCCAAGATTCTTTAAAGTCAGTTGCTCTACATACATCATATATAAATAAAGACATAATAAAGATAATTTATAAATATCTCTGACAGTGTCAAATTAAAACTGAACATTATTATCTTTGTAAAGGTAGAACGTACAGCTGAACTGTTATGTTGGATTGCAATTGATATCTACAGTAATAAAGTGGCCAGTGAGTTGTTGTTTTTTAACTTGTTTTACTTTTTTAATAAAATCACTAAATTATTTATCTGTAACTAGCCCCAGCCTTGTGTTTTACTAATGTTGCACAGTTGCAACTATATTTCATAATCCAGTTAGCCATAATTGACCTGAATCCTTACTCCTTTTCTAAAACACAGGCTCAATATGACTGCGTTATTTTGTTTGAAAATATAAAACACTGAAATGAACAACTAATATATGCCAATATACGTAGCGTGATGATACATTTTTTTTACATTGAGCAAAATCAAATGTCAGTTCCGGCTACCATCTGTATTTAGATTAAGAAAAGAGAGTTGCCACTTGGGATATGGGTACTTTAACCTTATTTCTTCATCCGGATAGTTAGTTATTTTTAGGAAAATCGGATGCCTAGCTCTGTGACTCAAATGTAATGTTAATACAAGAGGCACAAATGGGGCAAATCTGGGACAGTCTAGACAGTCTAGTGTAACAGTAGCATGGGAAGTTAAATTACTTCAGTAGTGTCAGTTACACAGAGTACACAGTAAGTAAGGTTGTACAGCACAAAGGTGAAGAGAGACACTTTAAAGATTCAAGGTTTTTACCCAACAACAGCGATTTGTTACTGCAGCATGCTCGAGTGTTGAAATGTAACCTAGCTTGTCAGCCGTGTGGGGAGGAAAGGTTATCAACACACACACGGTGATAAACAAACTAACAAAGGTTATCAGGACACAAAAGGTGATGAACAGTACCTTCCCCTCCTTTATCTTGGTAGCTATGATTTGTCTCCGCTGCTGTATGATATTAATCAGCAGGTCACACTCCTCAAGCAGCTTGTTTTCTTGTCGCGACGCGTTTACCTAGACAGGACAGATAATAGACACTCAATAAAGAAAGCGTTCTGTAATTCATTTGCTCTGACAAAAAACATTTTGCTGTACAACGGTATTTATTATTTTTGAATACACTGCTGACAGCACAGTTAATTTGATGTAAACCCCGTGAGACAGCAGAACTACATCAGAGGATAAATCTGCCATCTCATGTTGGGACAGGACAGCTGATCTTGTTCACAGTTTGTCTTTTATATCCCAAACACGTGCATGATCACAGCCATTGTAATGAACATGTGGCACCCGGGTGATGAGTCATCTTTATTCTAGTGACAATCAAATTTGCCAAAAACGAGATTGCTCGCTGACTGTTTTCAAATGTATGTCGGCAAAGGGGCAGTTATAAATGCATGGTGAAGTGAGATAATGAATCAAAGGCAATACACAATAAATACAACAATATACCATGACCACGCTTTATTCAATGTGCTTTTTAAGTGGTCACATAATATATAGAATAGACCTATTTCCAAGTTCACGCATACATATTTGGCCCACGCTACACTCTGAAAATGCTACAAACAGCATGCATATTATTGGAATAATTGATCTACAGACTAATGAGCACTTAATCTTGTTGACATGAAAAGCAACTCTCAGATACTGTGATTATTCACCGCGTTAGTAATTTAATGCCCATGAAATGCCACAGAAGCAAGGAGGCTGCACCTGCGAGGGAACAGATAAACAACCTCACCTCCACATGTTGGCAGGTTTGGATAAGTTTGCCCATCAGACTTTCCAAATCACTGGTCCTCTTGATTAGACTGCTGAGGTTGGAATCCAAGACTTGCTGCAAAGCAAAATTGAAAATGAGTATTTCATTACACACGGCCCCCCCCTCCCCCTCCCCTCCCCCACTCACTCACTCACATCAAACTGTAAACAGCTGAATAAATCTTGGAGGAGAAATAGGTGAATGGGAACATAAGGACCGTATCTGGCCCGAGTGTAATGGGCACAGGAGAGGACGCACAAGGCTGCCTCTGGATATGACTGGCCGCATTTTGGGCTCTGATCAGTGTAGAGCCCCCCGGTTCTCCCAGTGTGCCAAAGATCCCATCATACTGCCTGCTGAAGCCACAGAGCTTAGCAGAGCATCTGCCAGTGATTTGGACAAGTAAACCCCGGCTGTGTTAATCACTGACTCAGATCAAAGGCTTATGTTTCAAACTTAATCTCTTACTGTAATTGGGTAGCATGACGACTGCGTACTGTGGTAGCACAACATATCTTCTGATAGAAAGTGTTCTTCTTCTTAAGTAAAAGATTACTGTGGAATTACATTTAAGTGTGCCAGGGTTTAGATTAAAACAAGAGCAACAGAGGTGTGGAAAATGCTGTGACTCCAATAATGATTGACAGGTGTTTTAATACACTACACCAGTCATTAACTATTTCTAAATGATAAGCCTTGTGTGACGCTGTAGGAAGCCCATGTTTCAGCCCATTGAATCAGATAAAAACAATGTATTATTAAAAGTTTTAACAGCATATGTGATTGGATCTGTAATATATATGGTCACAAAAATGACTGACACAGCCTTTAAACTTTACTATCCTATAAAACATAACACTTGGTTAAAGAAGAATAGATGTTCATGACGTCTGAGAGGTTCACTTTGTGAATGGTATATAATCCAATTTAATTCGTCTCATTATGTTGAAGGCACAAACATTAAAAAGCTCTCTCCTCAAAAAAAGGTTTCACAAACACCACAGATATAATTGTGAGCGTCGTGGCTGATTTCACTTGATCAAAAACAAAATACTGAAAATAGTCGAAAGAGCAGTACAAATGGAGAACAAAAGGCCTGTAAAGATGCGAGGCTCGTAGCAAATAGAGGGCAGACCTCTCTCAGGTTAGATGTTTCACATTGTGATTTCATGAGGAAGGTGCCTCAGTGTGCACTAAAATAGCAGAGGCTTTATCTTACCACTCTCACAAATATAATTTATTTATATGGAAGAGAAAGCATTGAAAGCCATTTAAGATGCTGAGTTGCAGGTAAAGGTAGGTGAGTTCAAAACTTTTAAAATGGACGCATACGCCACATAACATATTAATCAAAGTGATGTTGAATATAGCCAAATGTATAAGCCTGAAACTCTCCAAACTATTTTGTTTTAATATGAGAAGTATCACATAAAGCCAAACAGAGAGAGGGAGAGCAAATGGAAAAGTCAGAAACTGAGAGAGACACAGTGAGTTCATCTCTGCTAACAATCGGGTGCACTGTACTTCTCCATGCGCCTGAAATGTGGCTTTTCCTGCAACATTAATACCCTTCATGTGTTTAGACAGCTCTCTCTAATGGACGTCTCTTTCCTAGAATCATTTAAAGCTGATGAGAGGAAAGAATAGCAGCTTCCTTTTGTATGTGACTGCTTCTGGTCCCACACCTTTGCTTTGGCCAGTTTCCCTTCCTTCCTCTCACCATCCTGACAGGTCACCGTCAGGACTTGGAGTTTTATACTGTGTCAACATTAGAAACTGTACCCATTGTCAGAGTTTGTCACTTCATCCTGTGAACACCACAGGCCCTGTTACACATCCATGAGTTTTACTTTGTCGGGTGGCCGTTTAAGCTTTTATTGAATCAGACACACAAACACATCATAGTGTGGTATTCTAGTGTGCAAATATACACTATTATCTAGTATATTATAGAGTATATTATAGGTATATTTACATATATAATTCAATAGTTTGGCTTGGCGGCGTATTCTCATGTTGTTTGGTTCACGTTGGTCCTCATGGTTCACTGTCACACTGTCGTGACTTACTGTGTCACTTGAATAGAACTGAGCCATTGCTAATGCTAACACCTATGCTTTACCTGCTATCACAAGTCAACACGTCAGCTGTGAAAAAAGTCTATTAAAAGACTTGCCAGTTAAGGTTGGGACGAAAACAGATTTGAAACAATCATACATACATGCATACGGCCTTCTGTTGTACTGGTTAGCCGACAAATGTGTTTTTTATACTGAACCTGACTATTATGTCACCACAGAAGGAAATTATAGCAGATAAAGAGGAATCTTCATTGTTTAGGAAAGTGCAATCTGATATACTGATCCTGCTGCTAGGAGGGTTAAACGTGATGTACTGTCTCCCACACTCTGTGGGATTTCTTTCAGGAACATCTTTTAGGAAAATCCCATTGATCATGGGATAATTATAATCAGGGTTTCTGCAGTCTTTTAAAGACCTGTTAAAGTCCCTTTAAGGCCACCATTATGAATGCAATTTAAGAGCTAGTTCACATTCTTACTGGCAAAAAAAAAAGCACAAAGTATATGAAGGCAAATCAGTATGGGTTCCATGGCAGCTTTGTTTTGTAGTTGTTACAGCATAATCAATACAACTTCTTTGCCAAAACAAATTTAAAAGCAAGACTGAAAAATGTTAACCTCATTAATCCAATCTATTTTCAAGACCTGTCCAAATCATATTAAAGATATTTTAAGTTAGATTATTGGATTTTAGACTTTTTAAGACCCCATGGACACCCAATATAATACACAATGAAAGTTTGGGCTCTTAAAGGTAATAAGACTAGAGATGCCAACAAATGAAAGTGTACGTCATTAAAGTATTTTAAAGGGGCTTTTTCTTTTACATGACTATAAATATCTATTTTTCACTTAAACTGAGACTGTGGTTTATTGATTAGCATCGTCATCCCACTTTAGGAAGGTCCTGGATCTGAATTTCATTGCTGGTGCTTTCTTTGTTAAGTGTGCCTGTTCTTTCTGTGTTTACATACATTTCTTCCCACAGCTCAAAGCCATCTGACTCAGAATTAGTATAAACCTGAAATTGCCTGTGAGTGTTTTGTCTGTTTATATATAAGCCCTGTGACATACTAACCTAGGGTTGTTGTTTTTTAACGTGCAATAGGCAAATGTTCTTCTCCTTTTCCCCCTTTGCATGCTGGGATTAGGTCCGGCCAATCTTCTGACCATTAACATGAACACATGGACATAAATGATGAATAGATAATAGCAGATATAATACCAGACCGGGATCATGTCACATAATGCACGACTGAAGAAATGACTGCATTATATATGATTGCACACAAACACACACACACACACACTCACATCTTTACAATGTCACAATATCCCTTTGCGGGGGAATTTCTGAGAAATGTGAGGCACTGTGACTGTAAACATGTGTTTGGAAATATTGGCAACTAGGAACTCAGCTGCCTGCCACCTGGGCCCTGTCCTGCCTGCCGGGAGGAAAAAAAAATCTAATTCTCTCTAAGATGAGAAATGCTGTTTCCTGTGTTACTTGAGGCTTCTAACAATACAGCTAAGTGCGTGTAATACGAGGTCAAAAGACAAATAAAAGCATGTTTTGGTACAGAATATATCCCACTGTAAAATGACATCAAGCAACTGCCTTTAAGAAGATAAAGGACTTTTCTATTCCAACACCCTGCTGCCTTTAACCACTTGGAGGATGTGCTTATTAAAAGAGAAAGAACAATACATTAACTACTACATCGAATAATAAAAACACAAAGGAGTGTACTATAATTCTCTATAATTACAATGTCTCATTACTATGTGTGACCTGCTGTAATAAGAACAGAGTGTATTTCACTCTCATCCTGTTGGATTTAAAAGGATAAAGCCCTTGAAAAGCCACACTGAGCTTTAGTTTGTTCCATAAAATAAAGCAGTCCCTGAATGTGGAATTAAAGAAATGATGCTGATCACCTTGTCTGCCTCCTGGTGTGAACGATCACGCCCCACACAGAGAAAGCGGCCAGGAGGTTTCTGCACAATGACAGCATGATCAAACAAAGGAGACAGGTTAAGACTGGTCCTCTGAGCTATCTTTTGCAAGATGTTGCAAAAGATTGGTTTCATCCCAGTTCCACGGTGACTAAGCATTGGGAAAGAGAGAAATGGGCACAAAAGGGTTTCGAGTGTTACTTGTGATACAGTAACCCCCCCTCACCCCCACCCCCACCCCCCACACGCCCCCCACCCCCCACACGCCACCTTCCCCCCCTTTTGTGAGTCATGCATGGACACTGTGAGTGTTTGTGAAAACAAAAGCAGACTCTCATTTCTTTTTCATGCAGTGGATGCCATGCTATTCTCAGAATACACTTTGGGAGGAACTGAAAAGCACAATACAATTCAGCTGAAGATAAATCAAACTAAAATAGTACATCATTTGATGATTTGAGAGGATTTGCCTTGTTTAAATTTAGTTACGTACAGTAGATAAAAGCTAACTTGCTATTTCCATGCCAAATACTTCACAATAAAGCTCCACTTCACAATTGCCTTGTTGTGGACTATAAACTGATCCCATGAGGTTGATGGAGACATGATAAGAGACCCACACTGTATTGGCAAAACATTGACCTGCTAAGCTAAAATCTCACTCTTATGACAAACGGCGTTTTAACATCTAAAATGGAAGGAATGCAGCTCCAGCGAACAGCCTCTTCTCATGGCTTATTGATATCAGCCCATCTGCTGAAAGTGAGCAACTCCACTTAACCTAAAACTGTGAAAGCAGTCTCTTGCATTGGGTGTTTTTCCATTTAAGATCGGCCAAGATAGTCTCCACCTCACTGCATGTATGCTGTTTGTCTAGGGCTTATGATAAATTTGCTCTCAAAGGACGACGCTGGCAATTCTCTATTTTGCATTGTGAACAAATCCCATGAAAATATCCAAAATGGAGCCCCAAGCCTATACTGAAGATCTTTAAACACAACTCATGAATATATAGTTCAATTTTTTTTTTAAAGGTGGAGATGCTGTCTTTAAACAACTGTAGTTTTTAGCACACATTTCTCAAACAGAAGTGAATAGTGTCTTGGTCTGGGACTATTTTCAGCCTCAGATCTAGTACACTGGCAAGTATTTACAGCAGACGGATGGTTTATGTGGGATTGCCTCAAAATAAACAACAGTGCATCGTGCAGTGGTGTGGCTCACTGATGTGTTTTTGAACAACAATGGAGGTCTGTGGCACAGAGGAGTAAGCTATATGGAGCTTTGGCGACGTTGTTGAAATGGTTGGTTTTGGTGTTTTCGTGGGATTGTGTTGACAACAAGAAAAATACGGAATATCACCAGAAACACATAGACACGATAGTATTGTAAAATGTAATTGAGTGAGGAAGTCTTTTTGTAGGATTAGTTTATCATAGGAAGTTTACAATATACTGTGTCTGAAGTGCCAGCGCAGATTTTCTTGCTTCACATTTGATTAACAACAATAAACACATCTGCATCTCACTTGCCACAATATTTCCAGTATTAACTTAACAGTACTTGCAAGGAACATCACATTGTATTTATCAAGAGGCAGATCATCCGCTTTATTTACATAATTTGCTCTTCACAAATGGGTTTGACTTAATGCATTTTTAACATAATAATACTGTTGGGGTTTGATAGCACTGTATCAAATTCAGTATTATGTCTGAATACTTTATTGAATCTCATGAAGTTTAGCTTTTATCAGCAAGCAAGGAACTAAAGTTATAAACGACTGCAACTCAAAGATTCAATTTAGATCTGTTTATTTTATCACCTGTTGTTGGGCTGAGAAGCCAGAAATGCTGCAGTTTTTAGTGGCATCTTCTAAATGAATCAACATTAACATTAATTGAGCTAGTCTAATTCATTTTCACAACCTGTAGCTTCAACTTGAAAATGCAGCAGAAGATGTGGAATGTTGATTGTTGGTTGATATTGAATGTTCTTTTGACTTTTACACCAAATGTTTCCCAAACCTGTTGATGCAAATACTGGAGGTTCTGATTCAGAACTATGAGGGTCATGAGTGATTTGATATGCACAAAGACTGGGAGACTCCTGTACTGAACATTCAGCTAGATCATTGTTGAACTACAAAAACGTTCGTGAAAATGTGAAAAAGTTTACTCATAGTCCAAGAGAATAAATGAGAAGCCTGCTAACGCTACCTGCATGTTTTCAACACTGCCTTTGCTAATAAAAAATAACAAGCAGAGATAAAAAGGTTTGATAAGAGATTTGTGTATGTATTCTGCCATTTTGGAACTGGCTATTGGAAACAATCCTACAAAAACAATGTTACTTATAAAACAACGGGTTCAGCTAAGTTGCTCAGTGAGAAGCAACTAATGAGATTCAGTTTTAGGCAACACATTTTTGTAATAATATATATATATGTAATATAATGTACTGATAAACTATGGTTTTCCTCAGTGTTTGCCCACATTTCGATGTCCCTACGATCAAGCACCTCAAAAGCTTGCTAGTGTTTCTTATAAAATTCTAATTCAACCTACAGCTGCGTCCCTGTCATACTACCATAGTGTAAAAGCTGAAAAGAGGTTTCCGAACAAATACAGAAATCAGCTTTGAATTCTGTGGCTCTAAAACCAGTGGGAACAGCTGTCTTCAGTGCATCATAAATCTCCAAGCATTCCTCCGACTACAAATCATTTCTCACCTTAAGTTTGTCGTATCGGTCGCTGAGGGCTGCCACTTGGTGGTCCCGGTGTCGGCCAACCAGTTTACACAACGCACAGATCAACTGTTCGTCTGTCACACAGTACATGTTGACCTTCTCATCCTCGTGCTCCAGACACATAAGCCCTCGCAGATGGGAGTCCAGCAAGGGCTCGATCAGACGGTGGCCCGTGAAAGGCTTCTTGTTGGGGTGGGTGGCTTTTAGACACTCGTCGCAGTATGACACCTCGCAGGTGACGCAGGTCTTCACGGCGTCCTGTGGAGGGTCCTGCTCACAGAACTGACACTGCACCCGGTCACTGGGAGATGTCATGGCTTTGCTGTCGGGGACGGCTCGCTCGCGTCGGGTCTCGTTAGGTGAGTTAGGTCCGCTTAGGGAAGCCTTCTGGTAGCGGTCGATGATGTTCTGCAGTGTCACGTTGCGTTTGAGTCCCTCTAGGCCCCTCTGGTTGAGAGTGATGACATAGCGACAGGTTGGGCACTGGAACGCGCTGATGGACTGAATTGGCTCGCTGGGTGTGCAGTGTGAGACAAGGATACGATGGGCACAGTTGAAACAAAGGCTGTGAGCACAGGGCAAGAGCAGCGGGTCCTCAAAGAGCTCCAGACAAATTGGGCAGGTCAGCTCCGACTCCAGTGTTTCCATTTTCAGGCGAAACAAAGTGGGGTCGTCAGCGAAATCCAGGGAAGCTGATCAGCTATCTGTAAAGGTGACACAGATATTAATTAGAAAATGCTCATAGGTAGGAAAAGTGCGGAATCCTCGAATAGGAGTTCATTAATAAGTTCAATGAATGGGTTGGAAATGAATCTGCAACTATGGAACAGTTGTTTTTCAAGCAAAACCAAACATGCCTTTGTTTCAGCTTGTCCACTGTGACGTTTTCAGCTTTACTCCGTCCTATGTGATAATACACTGAATGTCTTTGGACTCATTGTTGGACAAAACAAGCTATTGGAAGACATTAACTATGGCTTTAGGAAATTGCAACAGGCATTCTTCACGATTCAACAGACCAAATGATTAATGAAAAAAAAGAATCTGATTAACTGATAATGAAAATATTAAATGAGTTAGGCCCTATTGTCCAAGTTTACTTAAAAAGTGACTCATCATGCACGCTCAGCCTCTATCATCAAGTACTTGAACAACAAAATGATTGAACCCTGTCTCGAGTTTCATTTGATTTCCATTGCAAAGTGAATCTGAAAACATGAATAAAAACTGTATCATTACTGTATGTAAATATTTGTTAGAAGATTTCTGATTATGGAAATGAAGCAGATTGGAAAAATAATGCAAGCCAGCAGGAGAATACTCATACGTGCACATACACAAACATACATCCGCGTATCAGACGACTATGTTGCTGAACTTACAACTTAAGAGAATGCTGCAGCGTCTCATTTTAATTTGGCACAGGAATAGTCTAGCCTGTCCCCATGTGTTCCTCTCTATACTGTAGTCGGTAGGCCAGCAGGCCAGTGAGGACTGACAGCTCAGCCATGCAGAAGTCTATTGGCCTGCTTGCTGATGGCTGGGGCTCCACACTATCACAGACACTAAGCCTTTGTTCCCGGCCAGTCAGACACCCCAGCTGCGAGTGGACACACTGTGCTCACAGCGTCTCTCTCTATGTGAATTCTCTACCTCCACTCATTATGTGTGAAGAAGGCAAAAGCTCATTATCAGGACAGTCGGGGCACAAGTAGATCTTTTGAAGTCGTGAGGATACAGCAATTACCTCTGAGCCACAGACCTGGGTTTGTTCTTTCCGTTCTATTCAGATCTTCACAGACATTCAGCTATCCCACTGTACTGTACAAGACAAGAGGCGATTGTTGCGCTTGTCTCTGGTGACGGCCGCGATGCATCTGTGGGCCTTTGTTTCTTTGCTATTTTGTTCTTTACAGACAAAGCGGTGAATGCAGGTGTCTAGAAGTTCTTATTAGAGGATCAAAGACAACCTCTTCACATGCAAACCCCTGTCTTAAGACAAAATATGTTAAACATCAAGCCTTTTGACACAGACACTGTTTTAAAGTTCATGTCTGATCATTTATATCCTATTCTCTTTAACATTTCAGATGCTCCCAATCTATCTAAACTACTGCTACTGTTTGCAGTAAACACTTCCTAACTAATTCGTGCATATTCAAGTGGCCTAAAACCACACAAATCTACGCAAGCGATGGCGCATAAAACTGTTCAATGACTTTGCCTGGTTGTATCCATTTGCCTGACATGTTGTTTTTTTTACTTTAACACACGAGACGACATCACATCCTTTTTAGCCAAGCAATTAGCCACACTACGCAGCGGTTAGTGGACTCGCACAGGTCTAGTCAAACAGGTCGAGTCACTACTTTGACCCGGGCTGTCCTAAATACAAAATGAATAAAGAGCTTTGTACGAAGAACACAATGCAAAGACGCTAATCCTCTGATGTCATGGCCTATGGTATAAAACACCCCCAAGTTACAGAAAGCTTGTAAAACAACCCTGTGGCCGAGAGCCACCGCAAACTGCATTACAGCCCCAAGTACATGACGCTCTGCTGAGAGCACTCCCATTCATACACAGTTTACTTTACCCACCGATGGATTTCGCCCCACTTTGCACTGCCGAGACATTTCTGCTGAGGGAAAACTTCTGACCTGAATCATGAAAACATATTTATGACAACAAATGCACAAGCCATACACCCCAGCGTGCTGTAGAGAAGGGCATCCAGATGGCACAAATCTTCACGGCCCCAGTAATCCTGCAGCAGGAGCTGTCACTGAGCGAGAGATTGAGCAAGAGGTAGCAAGCACAACAGGAAAAGTTGCCCGACAATTCCAGGAAAGCCAGCTCCACCTACAGCTGGAGCGCTGGCCAGTACTGGAAGAAGAGAGAGCGCAGACAACAGCGAGTGTGTGTGTGTGTGTGATAAATGAGAGCAGAAAGAGACGAGAGAGAGAGAGAGGAGAGAGAGAAACGACGAGACGAGAGAGACGCCAACCATAAGCAGAGGCACAGGACACAGCCCCAGCCCGTGTCCTCACAGGCAGGTTAGTGTCCTCTCAGCCCTGCCCATTCACACATTCAAAGCATCAGGATCAGTTTCGGGTTCCCTTGTGTGACCGTCCCTCTGCTTTCTACCCACACAATGCCGTGGATTGGAACTTTTCTTGGCTGTGCCGCCAGGGATTCAAAGAGAAAGGCTGAAGACACAAACACCGCCGAGGAGGCCACCTGAGAGGCGGCAGGACTCATCTGTAACGTGGGACATTCCTTCAGCGTCCAAAAAAAACAAAAAAAACAAGGTGGAATAAGCTAACTATATCCCATTCTGTGTCTCCAGAGGCCTGTGATGTCCAATACACAGCACGATTTAAAAAAAACCAAAAACATACAGCCTCTCTTAGAAAATCAGCATCCTAACAGCAAAAACTGAAAGACAGCTCGAGTCCTCTCTGACAGACAAGACTGCAAATGAAGACAGATATACGGTGTCACATCATCTGCTACACGAGGCTGTCCCAGTTGGCCCTCATGTGGGAATCACCAAGGTACCATCTGCTTACCATGTGCCTCTATTTCCAGACACACCCCCGCTGGGCTCCATTTGAATCCTCCTGTCACTCAAAGGAGTCCCCAGAGTGACTATCCTCTCCGAGAGACGGATACACGCTGTAAATATTGAAGACAAGCTAAAGTTCAGACAAAGCGGTGGGTGTGAGCTACACTGCTTAGGAGATGCGCACGGGAATGTGACGGGCATTCCCTAGGTTTCCCATGGCATTCCCAAACTGGGAGGCAATATAATATCATTGAAAGGTGCATGTCTATGTGCAGGCAAAGTTTTTACTACCTTTAAAACCAATTCCATTACTGAGAGACTTATAATAATAGTGTACCGATAGTGTAATGATGTGCTGCATGGTGACCGAACACACACATGCTGCTAGCTAATGGTTGGGGGGAGTTTTTGAGAATCTATTAAAAAAAAAGCACACAACAAATGTTGCTATACGATATTTTAGATATAATAACCAGAATCTCATACAACATATAGTGTCTCGAAAACCAGCATTAAATCTATATAATACTTTAACAGCCATGTTTGTTACGGGCAAATGGTTTGAGGAGAAATCAGTAGAAATTGTTACATGTAGCTGCAGTGTGTAGCTTATGTGTTGCACAGCAGGTTGGGGATTCCGGATGAGTACGTGCAGCAGACAGAGGACAGGTGTGAGGCATGTGCAGCTGAGTGTGCCGCGCTTTGTCAGATGATGAACTTGAGCACCAACTTAACATTTTTTTGGGGGGGGGGTTATTTAATTAGGAAGTAATGGGTCATTTAGAGATGAAACAATTACAATGTCTCAGATAGGAGGACAATTACCTGCTCAAGCACTTTCTAATCCCTTTGGTTATGGCCCTTTATCACCTTTAATGACGCCTCTTAACCATGTATTCTGCCACTGAAAGAGTGTGATTGCTCTTTGTCTTCTTTCCTGGGGCAGACACCTAACATATTTATCTGTAATCCTGTCTTCCCAGCGTGGCTGTGACCAATGTGTGGCCTGTTGCTGCTCCCCTAAAGCAGCCAGCTCAGCAGCGGCCCACTCAGGCCTAATGTGATTTACAGCTGGAGCAGCACAAGCCAGCTGATTAGACTGACAAATCTACCTGATCTGCAGCTGCACACATTACTGAGATTAGCTGCGTGAAGCCTGGCCCTGACCAGCAGCCATTCTTGCACATATCTAAACGACTGTGGAGGGCAGTTTAATTACAAGTCTCAACTTTGAGGCGACTGAATTGAGAACTCATCTGTTAAACAAGACGACAAGTAGGGCTGTCGTACGTTTTCTGCGGCGCACTCGCCCCGGCAAACTTGTGTTCACACGGACATAAAATTGTTATGAAAGTAAAAGATGACTCCATTAAGAGGCTCGCGCTTTCGTTAGCTTACAGGGTGTTTTATAATGGGAGCCCCCAGATGAGGAAATGGCACCAAGAATCGATAATGTACATAATGTTTGGGGCTAATGAGTTTCTTACAGACTCCGAACTGGAAATAGAGGTCTGAAAAGGTCAGCCGAACGACTTATTTCTTCCATTTCTCTGGACGCCTACGGTGTCTGTACGGGTCATCCTGGTCAGCATCACAAGTTGCTCCATTTCCTCTCTCGCGGTTTGGCAAGTGGCATCAAGTAGGGAGGGAGAGAGGGAGGGAGAGAGGGAGGGAGGGAGAAAGAGAGGGGGACGGCATCCTTCCCACAACCACAGGAACTTTACAGAATGTGGCTGAAAGTCTGCTGCTCATTGAAGAAATGTCTCACCGAGCTCAGGACTATTTGAAGAAAGTAAGCGGCCTGCTTTTCCGTCGGAAGTTGCCTCGTGTGTTTGTAGTATGTGTTTGTAATATGCAAACGTCATATAAGAGGAATGATGGGGTTTTTATATATAGATATATTGCTGCGGAAAAACAATCAAAGAGTGACATCGTGTGGCGGATTTATAAACTACAGCAAACAGGTTTATGTTTCCTTACTCAAGAGAAGAAGAGACCCTTTCCTTACTATAAAAAAAAAAATGTCGCCAAAATTACATGGAGACATTTTACATTAACTGAAAGAATATATAATTAAATTTTGTCTAATCATACTGTTTTTTTTTATTTCTCCGAACATGCAAACCAATGGCAACAACAATTAAAAAAAAAATAGTCTTTATACAAACCCATTAGTTCAGGATGATACTAATGGTTCTGTATAAAGACCTCCACATGTGTTGCCATGGTGACAGCTTGATATCTATTTGTCACAGTAGTGATCAAAGGCAGCACACTCTGGTGGGAAGATGTCTAACATTCCTCCTCCCAGGAACAAGATAAGTTACTAATTAATAAGGGAAGCCACAGACCCAACTGCAATGTCCCAGTTTTACTCTTCATTAGCTTCATGTAAAGTGACTCCTGTGTGCGTTATGCATGTAGGCCTGTCACAAACGCTGTCCAGATGTATTGCCAGGGAAGAAATGCCTGTATCTTTTATCTTATCAGGAGGATTAAATGGTATTTTGTAGGTCACAAGGATACCAGAGTATGGATGAAAGGCTGGGTTTTATTTCCCCTCAGTAAAGGTAATAAAAAACTTTTATGATGACTAAGGAAAGGTGACACCGAGAAAAGGAAAAGAGCGCACTCTAATTGTACCCTCAGAAATAATGTTACAAGCTACACTCTAGTGTTTGCTCTCACAAATTATATCATATTCTTTTATATAGAACCGATGCAGATGATATATTTTAGGAAATTCTAAAAAGAGCACACTGAATAGCTGCTTTGACACTGGAAACCTACTTTAGCTACTCCCACTCTCTAACACTTTTTAATCACAAAATCCCCCTCGGCCTTCTCACTTAGTCATCTTATCTCTCAAGTATTATCCACAGCTCAAAACATGAAGGAATCTGTGAACACAACAAGGCCAAACAACTTCAGCATGCACAGAGCCTTGCCTGGAGGCTTGGAAACATATGATGACTCAGTGTTAGGGTATCAAAACATAGAGGCTCAGTAACAATATACAGAGTTGAGAATGACCTTCTGACTTACCCGCCACATGATTACATCCATAAACAGGCAGGAGAGGAAAAAGCCACCTTTAAAGTCAGTCAGTGTTGATATTTGGGCTCTGCCAAGCTGATCCAGTGCAGCTGTCTGAACTTTTAGTGGAGTGATTCTTCTCTTTTACTCCCTGTGAGTTTCTGACCCTCTAACCCTGTTCTCTAAACCTACGGAAAACCAGCAGGAGGATCGAAACTTTCCACCCTTTTCTCTCCACTCACTGAGGATTGTACCTATCCCATCCAGACGCAGTGGGCTGCAAATTGTTGCACTAGCCAATCCCACTAAAGGGGCAGGACTTGAGCTGGTTTGGTCTGTCACTCAGGGCTATCAGAGTGTGGAGTGTTGCCATATCTCCCAACAAAGTTTTGTTTTGTCATACTTAAATAAACATCAACCAACGAGCTGAGCTGCGTGCCAGAAAGCAACATTTTGTGCATTAAAACACATTCTTTCTTGATTTTTTTTTTTTTTTTGCATAATTAGTAGGACGACATTTGGAAGTAATATCAGCCATTTTCAGGCAAAATCTGAACTGCTATTGAATGTATCCTCAACGAACTCAGTCTGGAGTCATTGTGGATGGAGTTGCATGCTCAGGGCGAGATTCAATACAGCCAAATGAAATAGTGCATAAGTAAACACAGTAATCAATGATGATATACTGAAAGGACAGTGACGCTTTGTGTCCGAGTAAATGGCCTGAGACAAATGCTTATACCTGGATAAGCAAAGATATATTAACAGACAATCCACTGTTTTTTGCCACACAACTACCATATTCTGCTGGCAGCTGACATGTTCGTTAGCACAGATGGTGATCAAAAGTTGGGAGCTTAAATTCAGCAACCTTATTTCTCAGAGCGATTACACCCTTTTGTTTTTTTCCATGTGAAAACACCGAAATGGAAACACACAGGAATGTATTGTGGTTGCGACAGTTGACTTACATAGTGTTGAAAGTTGTCTCAGATTGTTGGCACCACTTTTTGGCTACGTGGAAAAATGTTCCCAGCACAAACATGTGCTGGCTGACACGATTGGCATCCAAACAGGGATGCGGATCACATAAACGTTTTGATCAGTTTCTCAGCTCTGGATATGAGCCCACATTCACTGTTTAACTATGGGGTTTGAGGTATTTAGTTAGAGGCCATTACCTCAGACGACCCTGTCAGCGAGTGTCAAGTCAGTGTGTTTGATACGGTATCTCTGTTTAAAGCAAATGTTTATGTTATGTGGTAAAGCCACAGCACATAAGACATGGACTGATTTGGATTAGTAGCAATCCAAAAAACCTAGCCAGGACTTCTTGTGTTTCAGTTTAGCCTGTAGGGTTCAATAAAATATGAAAAGAAACCTGAGAGCAATGAAAACAACTTAGATTTGAAAGTATGTTAAGGCAGATAATGTCTTGAAGTAACATAAACACATTAATATGTCAGTAATTGCATGAGACCAAATGCAAATGCAAAGGTTACGGCAGTGTATGTGTAATGTGCAGTGTGGAAACACATGCAGTGAAGCCTAACAAATCAATTCAGTTGATAGCTCATAGCTGCAACATCACCACTGATATTGTGTCTTCACTTTTCTTGCTAAAATTCAAACATATAGACAAAATAAAGGATGCAAATCGTTTTAGAATCCCAAAACTTTCTCAAAGCCTAACTTAAAAATCTCAAAGAGACTTAAAGGGAACTATTAAAGTGTCACCTATTGGAAATACAGTTGATCCCTTACCTCTCAGTCTGTTAGTCAGTCAAACAGTCCATAGTCCGGGTGACAGATGAATACAGAAATGAAGCCCAGGAAGTGATGTTTCTAAAAACACCAGCT